TTTGCCAAACTGCTTAGGTGCAGTTTACAAGAGATGAGGGAATGAGTACTGATGCCCCCATACATGAGTGTGAAAGTGAGATAGACCACCCAACCAGGCACTACGTGCCCTACTCTTTACAAAGAGTGTGTGGGTTTTTGAACATCCCACAGATTTATTACATGTGCAAGGGCTTGTGAGACGGAGCCTACGGTTTATCATCCTTATCGGAGAAGACTAGAAAGTCTAACCGTTTGCAGATGTTATTACAAAGGCAGCACTTTCTCCTCAGTTATTGAAAGATCCTGAATGTTCGTCCGGCCGGGGGTTTGAACCCATGACCTCCCACTCAGCTGACTGGCGCTTGATTTTTTAAACCAGTGTGTTTAGGACCAGGGCTCTGTTGTTCAAAACTTGGATAGCAATATCCGTCAGATAGATCACTGTCCACTGAACAAGCATTGCATTATCTCCCTAGTGGATATTTATCTACTGTATTGCGCTATACATATTTTGAACAACTCCAGCCAGGACTTTAGGCCTCTACAATGCTGGGAGTTAAGAGGCAGAATCATGTCTTGTTCATTTACAGCTTTGTTGTTAAAATAAAATGTCAACAAAAAATCACCTGTCTGCCACCAGATAGAAATGATGACTACCCCTCTTTCCGACAGCATATTTATATTAGGTCAGCTTTGGAGATGGTATCTATGAGAAAGGTTGACGGTTTTCCTATACCAATTGTACGAGGTGAAAAATGCCAATGTTTTAGTGACTTTAAAGTGTACATGTAATTTTTTGTGGTGCAGCACGACTAGGCCCTCAAGCAACCAACACTCCCCCTCTATACACCCTAAGATACTGGCATAATTATTTGTTATTCTTTATACACACATATATGCACCCCGAGCCACCTCATTTTTGACAAGTATATCTACTTAACACATGGTGAACATCAATTTTGATACTCAGCGAAAAACTTTGCAGACAGTCCTTTGGAAATATACCAATCTCGCTACCAAGAACATTGGCTAAAATAAGTCTTTATTTTCTGTTGCTTATAAATACATTTTCCCCATGTAAAGTGGGGACAATTAACCCTTTAAACCTTAACATCAACATGTATACTCTCCAAACTGCCTCTTTTTTCCAAGAAACTGAAGAGAACCACGTCCTTTTGTAGTTGACCATAACTTTTCTTCACCTTAATGTTTGATTTAGCCATAATATTGTAAGGAGAAATAAGATGCTGGTCACTCTTAGCACTCAAAGGGTTAAGCTCCACAGCAGTTGTGTTTCATAATTTAATTACAATGGAAGGCTTATTCTGTATGTGAGTCTTTCCTTTGACTCTTTCCAAAGTGAAGGATGGTTGTCATCTTTTCACATGGAAATAATTTTTGTTATGTGTGAATTTGAAATATGGTTGTGCATCATGCATCGCTTTTTGGTTGGAGGCTTAGGGCAACTGAGAAATGGCCTTTATTATGCACATTGTTTGTATTAAAATTAATGTGTTGACCTTTCAAACTGGAACCTGCTTACAAATTGAAGAGATACAAAAGGTATTGTGATTATTTTAAGATTCTTGTTATTTAGCAATCATTGTTGTTGTGTTTAGGATAACAATATCATCACATTGTCCATGAACGAATGAATGAAGAAGAGTCGTGGATGAGAGGACAACAGATGTGCCCTCTTACAATACATTTGAACATGTGAACAGTAAGCTCGGACGTCAGCATACAAAGGCGCCACTGGCAGCCGCTCTCAGTCCATTTGTGAGCTTACTGTACCCACCCAACCATGATGTGAATGATGTGATGAGTGAAGGTTGACCACAACACCAGGGTCTACGTCCCCTACTCTTTTCAGTGGTGTGGGTTCTTTTATGTCCCACAAGAACCAGATAAGTGTAAGTGCTGTTAGACGGGACCTACGGTTTTTCGTCCTTATCTGAGAAGACTAGAAAGTCAAACTGTTTGCAGATGTCATTACAAAGGCAACACTTTCTTCTCAGTTATTTAAAGACCCCGAGTGTTGGTCCAGCCAGGGTTTGAACTCGTGACCTCCCGCTCAGCAGACCGGCGCTCTCCCAACTGCGCTAACCAGGTGGCAGTAATGTGCATAATGTTCAATATAAACTGCTCAACCCAAAATCTGTTTTAAAGGAAGAAATTAGAGAAAATAACGCGAGGAGCGCTGTTCAACACATTGAAACCTTGAAAATACATGCAATAAATTTGGAGTTAGGTGAAGATAACCATCCAGTTTATGGAACATTGAATTCTTACAAAAACTAGTTATTACTGCGCTTTTCACAAACATGCAAATTGTGAAGTTCAAAAGCCAACTAACAATTGCATTTTTCGCTGCTGTCCATCATCTTAGCAGACCTCTCAGGATACAAAACTTTACTTTAATGGGTTCAAAAGGTCATGGTTTGTGATTGGTGGATTTCGATCCGTTTTGTGTGTTTCTGTGTTTCAAGGTTTGTTGCTTGTGATCGTAATTATGATTG